TCTGAATAGATGCTCCAATGTGCCATAAAGCACACTAAATGTTGAGATAGTAGGGAACTGTGCTTATCTTATAAAACAGCTCTGATGCTAAATGATAATAAACAGTGTTATTCAGCATTGAAGCATGCTGTTTTGAATGATCAGGAGGCACACCTTAAAGGAATTATGCAGGTACATTCATTTTTGTCCATTAATTAGTATTTTAATTGCCATATTGCAAAAAGCACAGGTGTAAGTGGACTTGTATTTGGTCTACGGGCCGCTCAAAGTGCATTACAACACAAAGCACTCAGGATGTCACTAAGCTCACCCCCATACACACATTTGCACACACCGATGGAGCTATTTTGGGTTCAGTATCTTGCCCAAGGACACTTCGACTTGCCTGGATGAGCCGGGAATCAAATCAGCAACTACTGATTACTAGAAGACCCGCTCTAGCACCTGATCACAGCCGCCCTCACAGGTGTAATCAATAACATTACTGATGTCCAGGGAGCAAGCGTACACAACATCAGGACCCTGGAGCTGACTCCCTTAATTAATGTTATTAATTACACGTCAGTTAAACACCTAATTACACATATTACTTTGGCTAATACGAGTTATCTGCTTACAACTCCTCTGTGTTGATGTACTGGCATTGAGTAGCACCTAAAGAGAGTCTACTGGGATGATGCTGTGTCTATATTCTCATAATACAACATACAGTAGACACACTGTACTGTAAGGATTGCCCAGTCTACTAAAACAATAAGTCTTGGAGAAAATATGGGAAATAGAGCATGTAGGTGCAATTAGTAAACATCTGCTGTCTGGTGGCATCTTCATCAGACAGTATCAACCATCTGTCCCATGCATCTGTCTCCCATTCAGGCTCAGCTGATCTCTACTGTCCACGAAAAAATATGGCCCCATTCAGCAGTGATTATAATCAAATATAGAGTGGGCCACTTGGATGCACATTCAAGTGAAATTAGATCATCCAGATGTAAAAAATAATAATAACACACATAAAAACACACACAAAAATGGCACAAAAATTAATTCAGCAACTCAGGAGACCAAGAAATAAATCTTACACAATCATCTAGATCAGAAGAGAATAATAAGGGAGGCCTGTTGGTTTAAGCCTGTAATGAATGGCAAGAAATCTTCTTACCTCGGCCAGTCTTAAATGAAGAATAGCATTCTCTGTCTCCAGTTCCAGTATTCGCTCCTCTTTACTCTGGAAATATTACACAAGGTCGTTGGAAACAGTATTGAACATATGTGTGCAGAGTTATATGGAAAACACAGAATGGTTTGAGAGACACAAGTTGCTGGACAATCTCTTAATAATAATTCCACACTTTAAACTTCCTCACCCTCAGCTTGTGCTCCAGCAGGTGCACCTGGTGCGCAAATATTCGGTCCCTGTTTATAAAGAGAGGCATTTTTTCCCTCTCCCTTTAAAGGAAATAAACTAGTAGAGAAGAGAATGGATGGCCTCGTCCCGTTCCTTCCCCAGCTGATCAAGCCTTGTCCTCTCAGGTCATAATCCGATTAACTGTCAACTCTGCTCACCTGTCTGCAGGGGGGAGGAGGGTGACAGCGTGCAGTCTGGGAGATAACACGGGCCGCTAAGTCAGACAATTGCTGCACAAAGCAATATTTCCACACATATAAAGTTAGCTCTGCTTATGTGATCGCCTTTTGTGTAACTTCTGAGAAGTAAATCCAGTCTAAATGTTTCATCCCTGTATTCCTGGTTCAAAGTGCCAGTTCAGTGTGGCTGCTGGTGTTGTTTCTGACTGCATAATCCACATGTTTTAATGTTGTATATCATGATTTAAGTGGACAGTTGACTCTGTTTGACCTGAATGTAACATAATCTTAATTAATACCACTGGTAAAAACCTGTGTTTACTGACTATTTTATGTCTAAATGTGTGAAAATGTGAAAAAGTTGTTTTTATTTATTAAATTTCAATGTACAAACAATGCATTGCATTGCACAAGCAAATGGGCACTGAAAAATGATCATTTTAACCTACTAATATTAACCAAGAATAAAAAAAAAATAGAAATAATGAAAAAAGGAGCACATAAAAATCACAAAATATAAGAGAGAAAAATAAACCACAGACAGCATCACACTTAAATATCCATAAAATGACTTTAATTTTCCAGTTATTCGAGGGTTGAAGAAGGTTTATCGATGCAGGAGCAGACCTCAGCTCACAGGTATTGATAAGTGTTCACCGATAGAGGGCAGCAAAGCCTCAGAGCAGCGGCGTGTCAATAGGAAGACATTTAACACGACGAAGAAGAGAAACCCTTCCGCATAGTTCCAGTTTGTCCACCTCAGCTCTCAGCCAGGTTGTCCGCACTTAGTTTGCAAACAAAATGGCCAAATTAAAAGACAAAAGACGAGAGAAAGTCAGTGTCGCCACCGAGGTAAGACGTTTCATTCATTCATCCGCTCACATTCACGTCCTGGTAACTCTCTGTGTTAATATTAGTGCAGTGGAACTCAACTAAACGAAACTAAACCAGCTGCTTCATCTCACATGTTAAAATGATGCAGATTGACCGTTTGGAGGAGAGGAGGACGCGTTGCCAAGACAACCTGGAGAGGGCAGAGTTCAGGAGCAGGAAAGAGGAGCTCTCTGATAAGGACAGGTGAGGAGGATGAGGAGGTGGAGGTGGAGGAGGAGGAGGAGGAGGATGAGGATGGTGGATATTGTGACAGAGAGTGAATGCTTCTTGTCTCTTCCTCTGTGCTCCACAGGCAGCAGCTGGAAGATGAAATGACGATCATGAATGAGAGGGTGCAAAAGTTAGGTAAGTCAGTAGCCATAACATGTTCATTCATACTGTGCAAACCACTGTAGGCATGTACAAGCATATATATTTTTACAATAGAGAAGTGTTGGACCAAATGACAGGCAAGTGAGGGGCAATAAAAATCACAAAAATAGTGCTTTGTTGTCGCTTTTCTAATAATGTGACCGAAGGATAAATCAGTTAGGTGACAGACATCCCCTTCCTCCAGCCACTCTCTCCTCCTCTGGTTCCAGGCTGCAAGAAAACAGGCTCATGTTGTAGGTGTGGAGTCTGACCTGTTTGGGCCCGTCTTCTCCTAAATCATCCACGCTGGTGTGAGGCTCCACAGCATCAAGAGGAGGGCTAGCAGTAGCTGGTGACACTGACAGCAACTCCAGTGACTCAAACAATGACTTAGCTGTGAGGTTATTGCTGTTGAGCCATCAATCACTTTCTCAAACCCCAGCCCTGGTCCCACTGTCCACATGTCAAAGTGCCCCTATAAAATTGCTTATTATAATCTAGCATCACTTTTTTTTGTTTTTCATTTCTAGGCAAGGAGCTGGAGACGCTGAGAGGAGAGAATCGGAAGAACATGATGCTGTCGGTCGCTCTGCTCGTTATCAGCGCTCTCTTCTACTATGTCTTTTTCTACAACGAAGAGGACTCGTGATGACCCGTGGCATCTTAAAGGAAGCCTCAACCTGAGATTAAACATGAGGCCCGGGACGGTGCACAGTGGGATTGAAATACATGGGAAAGCTTTAAGAGCCCTGTTGATGAAATACCTCAGACCTGCCTCTAGATGGCGTCATTGTCATTTTCTTGATCTCCCCTTATGGTCACACTGGGTTTGTCCTGCACGGTCAGAGCCCCACTATGGCTTATTGGACTGCAGAGTTGGTGTTGTAAGCATGTTTGGACCTTAATTATGGCTTTTACTTCATTTCTTTATTGAAAACTCTGTCCGCATATGTCTCTGTACGCTTTTTGCAAATGTCAATGCAAGAGTGTGTTTCATTTTGTCATTACACAGGCTTATGTGAGTAGGCTGCAGTCTTGTCTTGTCTGAACAGCACTGGATTTGGAGAGTTTGTGATATACTAAACTATCAGGTAACAAAATTGAATATGCATCAGTGCATGTTGACCTGTCCTGATAATCCCAACCCATATGCTGGTTATGTAAACTACTGCAGGTGACGCAGGATGGTATTTTGTAAGACATGAGTGTGCATCTTGTGTCTTTTCTCCAGCTTGTACGCAGTCCCCGTCTTTATTTTTATTGCTGTGTAAAGTCTTGATGACATTCATAACGCATAAGAATATATACAAGAGTTTTTCCGCTAAATAACCAAATTTAATGTTTGCCTTACGCCACAAACAAACCGATGTATTATTGCTGTATTTTATGCAGTGTATTAAGAGTATTGTATTGTAAGAGAAGCTTCAAATGGTGCCAATCAAGTCTGCTTTTGTCTTTTTAGTCACATATGAATACGTGTGTGTGATAATGCATGATACACATATGAAATTAAATGGATGGAAATATTTGATACATTTGCTTTTTGGGTTTGAAGTGTGTGTTGTACAGTTTTGTCACTACAACAAACGGAGAACCTGAAGAATGTATTTTTTTTGTTTTGATACTCATGCTGGCCATGCAACCATCTGCTAATCAAAGTTAAAACATGCCAAACGTGTTCATAAATGTTGTTTTTTAAATACACGTATGAAAAGGGGGTATGAAAATTGAGCTGGATGCTTATAACTATCTGTTTTGGAAGTATATTTATTGTGTTGTTTGGTATTCATAGGTTTATTATCTGCAATGCTTTAATATAAAAAAAACTCAACTTTTATTTATAAACTCATTATATGACTCACAGCTCTAATAGAGGCCCAGATTTATAATAATTGGATGTGTCATGTTTTTTGATGACATTTGTGATCCTTCCTAAAATAATCAAACTATACCAAATAACAATACAACGGAAGCTTTAAAATGTTCTGGGACCAGATTACTCAGTGGATGAGTGTTCAGGGGTTTTCTGATCAGGAAGTGTATTGTTTGAAACTGGAAACAGACACAAAGGAGGTGTAAGTTATCACCTATAGTGACACAGTGAAGGTTTGAATAGTCTGGCACTAGGTGGCAGTTTGAGGATATGACTATAAAAAAGTATTAAGGCCTCTTTATTCTGAGTGGATAAAAGAAAATACAACAACATTCCTGGTATTGATTGTCATCGCTTTGCCTATAACGAGGCAGAAGACTCACTGTCTCCTCGCCATCAGCCATGTTCCCATTTAGGACTGAAATAGATTTAATTGGAGAAAAAAACTGTGTTGCTTTCACCTAGATTCCCCTGGTTAAACTGTCCTGCAATTACAGGAAGAAGAAGTGTTTTATGTCCCTTAATGCTTCTTCTAGACTGTAAAGCACAAGTATGAATTCAAGCTTTGAGGTTGATTTGACTGGAAGAATTTTCAATCTTATTGTAAAAGTTTACAGCTTTCTTATTATATTTCTGTCCTGCATTTACAGGTTCCTGGTGTATGAAGACAGGTCTGTTTCCAGCTTTTACTAATGTGATTCTTTTTCCAGTTCTGGGCCCAGATGTATCTAATGCATAGTTATATTATAGTAATTAAAGGCACTATGTGGAAGTTTCAGAAAACCCTTGTTATTATTGACATCGGTGGTCCTTCAGTGAACTGCAACGTAAGCAACACCAACCTTTCCAGCTGTCTGCAGTCTCAGCTCCAAGTCCATTGGTTCCTACTAAAAAATCTTTAAAATTATTATATATATATATATATATATATTATTTTTTTTTTTTTTTAAAAGCTTAAAGTATTTTCCTAAAACAGCTGTGCACTGTAAAT